GAGAGAGGAAGAAGAAGAAGAAGAAGAAGAAGAAGAAGAAGAAGAAGAAGAAGAAGAAGAAGAAGAAGAAGAAGAAGAAGAAGAAGAAGAAGAAGAAAAGAGAAGAGAAGAGAAGAGGAGAAGGACAGATCAGCGAAGGTCCATCCTAGGAGGTGACCAGCTGAGAAGAGCTGGGGAAGAGCATTCCAGGCCAATAGAGCTCCAGTTCAAATGTTTTAAATTCTTTGGGGTTCAGTAAGAGGGGAGGAGGCTGAAGCCCAGCAAGGCGAGGAAGTGAGACCCAGGGACCCGTAACAGGCAGTGGAGCAAGCAAGAATCCGACAGTGGAGGTGGCCCAGGAGGAGGCTCAGGGACCTTGGGGGCTCCTGATGTCTGTTGCAGCCGCCATAGCCTGAGTCCCCAGGGCACGCAGGACCACAGCAGGAAGCGCCCCCCTGCCCTCCACGGAGTTAGCGGGTGAGATCGACGCCTGGTAGGTGTGAAAAGGCCGCCTCCCTCTGTGCTTCCCCTCGGCAGAAGGTCAGGGCGGCTCCAGTCTGGGTCCCAAGGAACCCAGGGCGAGAAGCGTAAACGCCACGCCCCCAGCGACCCCATTGGCTGCCCCGTTACCCCCCTCCTGACTCTGATTGGTCAGTGAGATCTTGCCTACTGCAGAGGAGCTGAATGGGAGCCTCCTGGGTCCCCAAGGAGGTCCAGAGGAGTGACCTGCGAGGGTCCCTGAGGATTAAATGCGTGCAAGGCCTGGCGTGGGCGCCCTCGTGATTCCCTCCCTTTGGGACACGTCAGGACCCACCCCCATCTGTGGCTCCTGGGTCACCCTCTTCCAGTTTATGGCCAGCAAGGCCAGGGGTGGCCGAGGCAAAGGGTACAGTGGCAGTGAAGGTCTCCGGGGTCACACTCAACTCCTTGTCCCTTGTCCCAGCTGCCGATGTGCGCAGAGGAGGAACTGGGCTGGGCCAGGAAGCTCCTGGAGCTGGGGGGGGGGGGTGTAGGGCCAGCTGGGACAGGCCCTCAGGAGAAGCAAGGACCTGGGAGAGGCGTGGGAGAGCGACACAGAGGTGACAGAGAGAAAGAGAGAGAGAGAGAGAGAGAGAGAGAGAGAGAGAGAGAGAGAGAGAGAGAGAATCACACAGGCTTAGAGTAATGCAGGAGCATACAGACAAGGCGCTTCAGAGACCCACAGACACCATCTACCACCTCCACTTTTTATTTTTTCAGACAGGATCCCGCTCTGAAGACCAGGCTGTCCTCCAACTAGCTGTGATCCTCCTGTCCCGGCCTCCTGAGTGCTGGGACGACAGGTGTGGGCCATCCCTTCCTGCACCTTTACTATTCAGACACCCATTAGGCACCTGCTGTGTCCCCACAGCGCCCACAACACGCTCATGTCCCTTTCCCCATCGTGCTGGCTGGCTGATGGTCGAGCCGGACAGATTCCAGAAACATCAGAAGAGTAAATCACATTTGTCAGGAAAGATAAGGCTGGCAGGGGCGAGGTGGGGCAGACAAGCCAGACCCTACTTATCTGGGGAAGGGTATGTGCTGGTCGCGACGCTCCCTGCGCCTGCCCCTCCCCCTCGACCCCGGCCCGAAGTGGGAGCCAGACATGGGGAGGGGCCTGAGCCACGAGCGGTGGGGAGCTGGCGCAAGGGACAAGCTACTGTGGGGCCTGCGGTTGACATCTCCTGACTTGCGCTGCCCGGGTCCTGTGCTGAGGAGAGGAATTTGGGGCACAATCCAGGGTGGCTCTATAGGGAGAGGGGCGGAAAGTGGGTAGTGACCCGCGCAGACGCCAGCCTGGGCCCCCGCACTGGGGGTGTGGAGTGGGAGGCGGCCCGGATCGAGACCGCCCCGCCTGCAGACCCCTCCCTCTCCCGCGCCTCCGATCTTCACACCGAGACCGGGCGGCCCGAGAGCGCAGCCCAGGCCCGCAGGGGAAAGTTGAGGGCTCACTGGTGCCAGTCGCCGCCGGCTCGTTCTCCGGTGCCGCGGCGGGTGGCACAGGCTGGCAGCCAAGGGCTGAGTGCCCAGGGCCCAGGGGGAGGGGGCACCGCCGGCCACCGCCCAGCGCCTGCCAGCCCCAGCTCCGCCCCGGAGAGCGCGCTGGGCTCCAAGCAGCTGCACCGCCAGGGCGCACAGCCGGGGCGCACGGTGAGTTTCCCGCCTCGGGGGTCTGAGGGTTTGAGCGCTCCCTGGCGTGGGGAGGGGTCGCGCTGGCCACGCTCGCGAGTTGAGAAGGCCCAGTGATCCGGCTGGGGGGGGTCTTGATCATCCCCCAGACCTCCAGGGAAGAGAGCTACCCAGGGAGGGGCAGGGACCCTAAGCGGTGTGTGGGGGGGGAGGGGTATGCAGTTCGGGGTCCTGGCTTCCTCCTAGTGGGGCTAGCGCCAGCGTCCCTGGATCCGTATCTGGTGAGGAGACCCCGTGCGTGTCTCCCTCAGACAATGGCCAACCCGAGTTCTGTGTGTTTGGTGTCTTCTGCTCCCTACATCACAGAGCCAGTAACCCCCAGTCTGCTGTATGTGGGTCCCAGTGTGTGTGACTGAAGCCATCTGGCGTCCTTTTGTCCTTTCCCTTCCCAGATCTCGGTTTTCAGATCTAAAGTGGGACCCGAAGGACAGTACAGCTGCTTCTCAAAAGTCTTTTCTTGTCTGTCTGTCTGTCTGTCTGTCTGTCTGTCTGTCTGTCTGTCTGAGACCAGGTCTTACTATGTAGTTCAGGTTGGCCTTGAGCTCACTTTGTAGCCTAGACTGGTCTCAAAGTTGCAATGATCCTCCTGCCTCAGCCTTCTGAGTGCTGGGATTACAGATGGGTGCCACCACACCCTGCTTCAAAAGTGTTTCTCTTAACCAGCCATAGTGGTGCATGCCTGCAATCCCAGCTTGGGGAGGCTGAGGCAGGAAGACAGCTTCGATGAGGCAGGCCAGCATGGGCTACATAGGAAGACCCTATCTGTGGAGCAAAATGTGTTTGTTTTTAAGCCTCAGTTTCCTCATCTGTGAATTGGGACTAAGGGGATTATTGCCAAAAGGATGAAAGGGCTCATCCCAGGTGGGAAGTGTTATTATGCTGTAATGACATGTGTGTCCCTGTGTGGAAAGCTGGTCTGGGCTAGGGCTCCTGTCTGCTGCCCCGGGCACTTCCTCCCTCACACAGGGTGGGGGATGGGGGGTGGCAGCAGCTTCAGCACAGGGGTTTTGCCAGAATGAAGTGTTTAGCAGGGGGAATCTAGAGCTCAGCAAAGGGCGTGGAGTGTGGGTGGAGGCTGTGAAATTGTGGTCTGTGCCACTGAGTGTGAGACCCTGTCCCTGTGTGACTGATTTTTTTTTTTTTTAATTTTGGGTACTGGGAATTGAACTCAGGACTTCACACTTGCCAGGCAGGTGCTGTGCCCCTGAGCTATATCCCCAGCCTGTGAATGAATTTTTGTTGTTGTGCATGTCTGCCTAGGTCTCTATCCATGTATTTTATTTATTTTTGCAGTACTAGGCGTCAAAGCCAAGGCCTGGGCACTGCCACCTCAGCCCTTTGTACACTGAGGCAGTCTTGCTAAGTGGCTAAGTTGTCCAGCCTGGGCTCAAACCTGTGACCCTCCTGCCTCTGCCTCCCGGAGTGCTGCACTGACAGGCCTGAGCTACCATAGCTTGCACATGTATGACTGTTGTGTTTTTTGGGGGGTGTGATTGTGTATCTTGCCCTTACCTGTATGTGTATGTGTGCTTGTGCTTCTGTGTGTGTGTCATTTATTTGTTTGTTTGTTTGTTTGTTTATTGGTACTGGGGATCAAACGTAGGACCTTGCGCTTGCCAGGCAGGTGCTTATGCTGCTGAGCTATCTTGCCAGCCTATTTATGATGGAATGTGCTTCTAAATATCTGTGTGTGTGTGTGTGTGTGTGTGTGTGTGAAACTAGGGATTGTATCAGGGCCTTCACACGGAGCTACATCTCCAGTCCTTTAATTTTTAATTTTTATTTTTAATTTTTATTTTGAGACAAGATCTCACCAAGTCTTTACAATGTCTTACTGGGCTCAAACTTGTGGACCTCCTGCCCCAGCACCGTGTTGGGGTGACAGATCCAAACGACCAAGCTTTACAGTAATGCCTGTCATCCTGTCCCCTCCTGACTGCGCCTGTGCCTCGCCACCCTGTGCCCCCCAAGCCTGTGCGTGGAGGCGGTATGCGGGGCTCAGGCTCCCTTGCCCAGGGCTCCTAGGTCCTGTCCCTGCCTCCTCACACTGCGGGACAGAACCGTGGGGACATCTGGCTGACTCGGCCGTCTTTTCTGCAGCCTCGCGGCGGCGGCCCATGGAGCCAGGGCTGCTGCGGCCGGCGCCGGTGAGCGAAGTCGTGGTGCTGCACTACAACTACACGGGCAAGCTGCGCGGGGCGCGCTACCAGCCGGGCGCGGGGCTGCGCGCCGACGCCGCCGTGTGCCTGGCCGTGTGCGCCCTCATCGTGCTGGAGAACCTGGCGGTGCTGCTGGTGCTCGCGCGCCACCCGCGCTTCCACGCGCCCATGTTCCTGCTGCTGGGCAGCCTCACGCTGTCAGACCTGCTGGCCGGCGCCGCCTACGCCACCAACATTCTCCTGTCCGGGCCGCTCACGCTGAGACTGTCGCCGGCGCTCTGGTTCGCGCGCGAGGGCGGCGTCTTCGTAGCGCTCGCCGCGTCCGTGCTGAGCCTCTTGGCCATCGCGCTCGAGCGCCACCTCACCATGGCGCGCCGGGGACCTGCACCCGCAGCCAGTCGAGGGCGCACTCTGGCGCTGGCCGCCGCAGCCTGGGGGGTGTCCCTGCTCCTGGGGCTGCTGCCTGCGCTGGGCTGGAACTGTCTGGGCCGCCTGGAAGCCTGCTCCACCGTGCTGCCGCTCTACGCCAAGGCCTACGTGCTCTTCTGTGTGCTGGTCTTCGTGGGCATTCTGGGCGCCATCTGCGCGCTCTACGCGCGCATCTACTGTCAGGTGCGCGCCAACGCTCGGCGCCTGCGCGCGCGACCCGGGGCCGCCAGGGTCAGTGCCACCCGCCCGCGTCGCATCCCGCGCTCCCTGGCACTGCTACGCACGCTCAGCGTGGTGCTCCTGGCCTTCGTCGCCTGCTGGGGACCCCTGTTCCTTCTGCTCCTTCTCGACGTGGCCTGCCCTGCGCGGGCCTGCCCCGTGCTCCTGCAGGCCGACCCCTTCCTGGGCCTGGCCATGGCTAACTCGCTGCTCAACCCCATCATCTACACCCTCACCAACCGCGACTTGCGCCACGCACTCCTGCGTCTGCTCTGCTGCGGCCGCCGCCCCTGTGGCCCCCACCCTGCCAGTTCCCAGACCTCGGGGAGCGCGGCAGGGGCCTCGGGGACCCTGCGGCACTGTCTGCCTCCCGGCCTGGACCTCAGTTCCAGCCGCTCTGAACGTTCCTCGCGCCAGGCTGAGGCGATGGACACCAGTGGCTCCACTGGCAGCCCCGGCACGGCCACAGCTGCCCGGACCCTGGTGCCCAGCCCTGCTGCCGACTGATGCCCACCACCCATCCCAAGAGCTATTCTGAAGACATTTTCTTTCTTAAATAAAGAATTTGTAGGAAAGACAGCTAAAAATGATGGAAGAGGAAAAGACCAGGGGAAATGTCAACCTCAGGACAGCAAACAAACAAAATCCTTGAGCCAGTCATGGTGGTACACACCTGGAATTCCAGCACTGAGGCAGCTGAGGCAGTAGGGTAGCAGGGAGTTTGAGGCCAGCATGGGCTACACAGGGACTTCAAGGTTAGGATATTGTGAGACTCAGACTCAAATAACATCAGAAAGTGGCTTCCTTCGTGGAACTAATGTTCTAGGGGGACACAGATAGACATGCAGGGATAGAATAATGGGGACAATGCTAGTGACAAATGAGATGGGAGATGGTGCAGAAGAAGTGACATGTGCTGTGGGCTGAGGTGCTGGGGACATCTGCACCAAGGCGTTTCAGGGTGCAGACTGGGTAGGTGCAAAGGCCCAGGGGTGGGGATCGTGCGTGACTTCCACAAACAGGAAGGATCTTGTTGTGGCTGGAGCCATGCCCGAGTGATAGGGCGAATGGAAGTTGGGGAGGACAGGAGAGGACAGGGAGGAGTTGGCAAGGGCCTGTCGCATGGGAGCCAGAAGACAATAGGGACAAGCCCAGGCCAGAGCAGTCACGACGGAGACTCCCACTGTGCTGGGACCAGTGAGATTCTAGACAGAGTCTGGAGCCTGCAGACAATAAAACACACTTTGTGGGCAAGGGCGGAATGACTTCCACATAGCACCCTGGGAGTCTCAGGTCTTGACAGCACGTTGTTAGTTTTTAATTGCTTGCAGTCCTGGCGATGGAACCCCGGGGCTTCACACTGAGCTACATCCTCAGCCCCCTCTCTTATTTCTCATTTTGAGATAGAGACTTGCTAAATTGCCCAGGCTGGGCTCAAACATGGGACCCTCCTGCCTCAGACTCCCAGAGTGCTGGGACCTCAGGCACGTGCTGTGGGCTGGGGCTGTGCTCTGTGGCACAGCACTTGCTTGTGTAGCATATGAGGCCTTGGATTGCAGAGTCTTTGAATGTGGTGCGCGATCCTTTCTTTAAAAGATACAAATGTAATAAAATAATTAGAGCAATTATCATTTATTATACTTGGCTAGTCCTCTGCACTGAGGTAGGTCTTGGAATTATTACTTTTTCACTCTTACTGTAACGTTTTTTGTTTTGTCTTGAGATGGAACATCACATGATCTTCACTGTGTCCTTAAACTCACTATGTGGCCCACCTTTGCCTGGAACTCTGGGAGATCGTCCTGCCTCAGCCTCCAGAGTGCCTAATTACAGGTGTGTGCTAGCTAACACACCCGGTGTCGTGTAACTTTGGGAAGCAGGGGCCCTCACCCCCATCTGACAGACGGAGCCGCAGACACTGGGTCCCTTGCCCAGGACCAGCCCAGGCAATCCTTTCCTGCAAGCAGGAGGAGGCCCCTCTGGCTCTGGTAAGACCAGCCCAACCCTCCCTCCCCCAGGGGTCGCATTCTTGCTTGGGGGCGATACCAGGGTCCCGTCTGTGCCCATAAAAGGCTCCAGGCCCGCTGGCCAGGGCCCCCTGCGAGTCCCTGAGCGCATTCCTGAGCGCTGCGCTACAGAGCTGGCGGGCTGGGGGCGTCTGACTTTGGGCTCAGGCTGCGGCCTGCCACCTGCTGGGAGACCTCGGGACTGCAGGCAGTTGTTAGGCGGGGTCGGAGCCTGGGTATGCAAAAGCAGCCTATTGGAGGAAGACAAAAGTCCTGGAGCCCACGGCAGCGGGTCAGGTCGCTCTTGGGGCCTCCAGTTCCCAGCCTACTGTGATCTCCAGGGGAAACCCAAGGCCTCCCCGATTCTCCCTCCGCTGGCTAGATTGTTTGGTGATATAACGGTAGAGGTTTTGTAGATTTTTTTTTTCCAGCTAACTTAAAGAAAAGCACCTAGTTCTCCTTTCTGGTCGTCATCACCGTTGGGATTCCTAGGGAAGTTCCACTAGTTTGTGGGTAAATGAACTGCAGTGTAACTTTTGATTTTAGACAAGGTCTTGCTACATAACCCAGGCTGGCCTCAAACTCACGGCGATCCTCCTGAGATTACAGGTGCGCCCCACACGTAGTTTCTTCACACATTTTTTTAATGCCTGACCCCGCTGGCCTCAGACTCCTTCAACTCAAGTGATCCTCCTGCCTCAGCCCTCTGAGTAGCTGGGAACTCCAGGCGTGCACCCTTTCCACATTGGAATGTCCTGCTGTCCTGCTAGGCTGAGGCTGGAGTCACCGCACAACCTCATGGCTTAAACAGCAGACATTTAAATCCATACAGTTCTGGGAGCTCGGAAGCCCGCTTTTGATTGGGTTCCCCTGACAGTGTCCTCTTTGGCTTCCACTGTGTGTGTCCCCACGTGGCAAAGACAAGATCTTTGGCAGTGTGTTCTGTGAAGGGCATTGATCCCTTCATGGGGTACCGTCCTGAGGACCTCGGATAAACGTGCTTACATCTCCAAATTCCATCTTATTGGGGGGTGCTCAACATAGGAATGATGGAGGGAGAGGGCCAACCAAACAGCTCAGCCGATTAAAGCACCTGAGAGCAGGGCCTGGGGGTTCCATCCCCATCCTTGCCCAGCTGGCCCACCCCAGGGCTCACTGAAAGGGCAATTGAGATTGGGCATGGTGGTACATGCCTGTAATCCCAGCTCTTGGGAGGCTGTAAACAGGTGGATCACTACAAGTTCGATCTAGTAGTGAGACCCTAAACACCCCATAGACCCTTCCCTAAAAGCACACACACAAAAAAAATATTTAAAAAAAATTATTCAGATAGTGAGGTATGGTGGAACAGGCCTGTGGTCCCAGCACTGGGGAGGCTAAAGATTACTGCAAGTTTGAGGCCAACCTGGGCTTCAAAAAGAGTGGAAGGCCAGCCTGAACTGCATAGTGTGACCCTGTCTCAAAAAGACCAAAAATAAATAAGGAAAAAAAAAAAAAAAGGCTAAGTATGTAGCTCAGTGCAAAGATGCCCAATTCAATTACTTGTACCCCCAAAATAAGCTTCTAAAAATGTTGGTCATCCAGGGGTGGTGGTACATGCTTGTAATTCCAGCACTGGGGAGGCTGAGGCAGGAGGATCACTGAGAGTTTGGGACCAGCCTGGGCTATAAAGTGAGCTCAAGGCCAGACTGAACTGCATAGCAAGACCCTGTCTCCAATCACCAGATGACTGAGACATCAATCATCACCTGATGATTGGAGACAGGGTCTCAGTATGCAGTCCAGACTGACCTTGAAATCGTGATGCACCCCTGGCTGGCCTCAGACTCCTGGAGATCCTCCTATCTCGGCCTTCGAAGTGCTGGGAGGAGAGATGTGCACCACCACGCCTGGCTTGATTCTATACACTCAACGGAAGCAACTGTTTGCCTGCATAATCTTCCTGCGCATGTGTACTGTCCTGCGGAGAACCTCTCCCGGGGGGTCGCATTCGCGGCAGAAGTTACCCCCTGGCTCATGGGGCTTGCAGGTTTGATTTTGAGAGACAAGAGTCTCCTGTGTACAGGGAGCGTGAGCCTGGGCCATGGGTGCGTTGGCTGACGTTTCTAGGGCGCCCCCATCTGGGAAAGTTCGAAACTGCAGTTTCACACTCAGGATAAACTACATTTTCCTCAGGAGGGATTATCCACTTCACCCTGACACCAGAGCCTACCAAAAGTACCTGGAAGCCTTAGAAATTTTTTTGTAAAGAGTAATATATTGTCCTTGTATTATTTGCTCTTTTTTTTATTCAGAAGGACTCCTTAAATTTAAAAGCCAGGTGTAGTGGTATACATCTGTCAGTATTGGAGAGGCTGAGGCAGGAGGATCACAGCGAGTCTGAGGCCAGTCTGGGCTACATAGTGAGTTCAAGGCCATCCGGGACTACATAGTGAGGCCCCATGTCAACAAACAGAATGCAACTAGTAACTCCAGCTGGATCTTTGGGAAGCTGGGAAGCGAGGCCTGTGCTGTGCAGAGTCAAAAGCAGATGGTAAGTTCTGGCCCTAGTATTAATTGCTGAATTATGGTGGGCATCTAAGCACAGGTGGTGGCCATGTCCCCGGGCAAGAGGACGGGGACAGATGGGGGCAGAAGGGATAAGCAAAAGCTCCTGGTCCGCACCTGGGCAGGGCGGGAACCTCCAGTCCGTGGCCCGCCGCGCCCTTCCCGCCCTCTCCCCGCCTCCTCCCCACGAGTACCCCACCCGACGGCGCCACCTCGCTGTCCAAGCCGCTGCTTGCAGCCCAGGTCCCCCGACAGCAGCGGCGCCCCAGGGTCCCGGACACCAAAGGCTGCACAGGATCCGCCAGGGCTAGGCTACGGCCCTCGGGCTTCCCGGAAGCGCAGCGCGCGCCTCCAGCCGCCCCAGCAACCCACTGCGCGGGACACCGACGCGGGCAAAGCGGGGGCCGAGGTGAGCGGGGGCGCACGCGGGGGAACAGCAGCCTCGCCCGCCCGGGCTCGAACACCCGGCGCTGCGGCAAGCGCGCCCCTGCGTCCTCGCCACGGCGCGCCGCGGCTTCCGCGCTGGAGCTGCGCGGCTGTGCAC